CCAAGCAGCATCATAGGAGCAGAGAGGCTGACGTTTCGGGCCTATCTGATGAAGGGTCTAGGCCCGAAATGTCAGCCTTTCTGCTCCTATGATGCTGCTTGGCCTGCTGTGTTCATCCAGCCCTGCACCTTGTTCTCTCAAAAACTTGAGGTAGTTTGTTTCCCAAGCACTACTCCTCCTTACCACCAGGTGGCGAGGTCAGCCCTTCAGCAACAAATTGCCCTGAAAGCGAAATCATGCTAGTCAGTTCCTGTCATTCATTCATAAAATTATCCAGGGCACTTTAAACACACCTTTACTCGAAAGTTTCATTTTGGCCTACCTCTAGGATTACAGGAGTTAAGAAAACGGATCAGACTGGATGTATGGAAGGTATTTGAAGGGGCTGAATGGCCTGCTTCTCTCATAAGGGCACGACTAAGGGACCCTGTCTCGAGTTCCTAATGTAGGTTCCACACAGTGCTGGTCAATGCACAAAGTGCCCCATATATTACTTTGGGAATTCCTGATTCGACAGGCACTGCTGCTGTACTTACCTTCAGTCATAACAGCAAAGAGGCAGGTAGCAAAATCCTTCCAACGTAATTCAAACCCTGGTGAACATTGCATTTCTACACAAACACACAAGGTGATCTTTCCCATCTGCATTCTCCAATGGCTTCTCATGGTCATCTCCTGTCCATGGTACAAACAGCACCCCCTCCCCTCAGCATCCAAACGTTCCTTGCTCCAGTTTTCAAAGTGTAGTTTTGTACTAATCTTTTCCTGCAAGTGTAGTTTTGTACTAATCTTTTCCTGCAAGTGCTAACAGCTAGCTAACCTCTCCACCCACCACATCCTAAAGGTGCTGTGTAACACTGTAGGAAATACAGAAGGCAACTTGCATCCAGCAATGAGATAATGGTGAGTTTAGTGATGTTGGTAACAAGCAGGTATGTCTTCCTGGAGCATCGGAGGCTGAGGGGTGACCTTATAGAGGTTTATAAAATCATGAGGGGTGTGGATAGGGAGAATGGTAGGTGTTTTTTTTTTCCCCTGTGATGGGGGATTTCAAGACTAGGGGCCATATTTTTGAGGTAAGAGGAAAGAAGTTTTTAAAAAAAATGAGAGGCAATTTCTTTTTTACACACAGTGGTTTGTGTGTGGAATGAACTTTCAGAGGAAGTGGTAGATGTAGCTACAGTTACAACATTTAAAAGACACTTAGATAAGTACGCAAGTAGGAAAGATTTGGAGGAACACGGGCCAGGAGCAGGCAAGCGGGACAAGTTTAGTTTGGGGTTATGTTCAGTATGTACTGTTCGGACCAAAGTCTGTTCCTGTGCTGTATGGCTCCGAGGGGCATGGAATAGGGTGAATAGCCAAGGTCTTTCCCCCAGTGTAGGGGAGGCCAAAACTAAAGGGCATGGGTTTAAGGTGAGAGGGGAAAGATTTTAAAAGGACTTGAGGGGCAACTTTTTCACACAGAGGGTCATGTGTGTATGTAATGAGCTGCCAGAGGGCAATATTTAAAGGGAATCTAGCTGGGCACATGACTAGGTCAGATTGGGATGTCTGGTCAGGGTGGATGAGTCGGACCAAAGACTCCGTTTCTGTGTTGTAAGACTGTGAAAAATACTAAGTTGATTTCCACCCCCCCCAAGCCCTGAACCCCCACCCCCTCCCCTCCCCTCTCCCCGTCCCGTAAGGGCACTGCAGCCTAATTGCAACATCTCTGAACTGACAGAGAATCAGGGGCAATCCGCAATGAGGAATGAATGAGGCCACTAGATTTGGTTGGAGGAAATGGGTTTCTGCACAGACGGTGGATGAGGGGGACGAAAACCCATTCAGTCTTGGCACCCGGATTCAGAGCAGGAACCGAGTTTCGGAGGGGCTGTGCCAGTGGGGAAAAGAGAGAACAGGGTTGGTAAGGGGCAGTGCAACAAAACAGGAGTGGGTGCTTCTGACTGTAACAGGCCGCAGTTTCGAAACAAAAAGTCGCGTCTTGTGGGTCCAAACAGTACCTCATTCCCAACAATGTGATACATTTGGTAAGAGTGAAATCCGATGACGTTGCTAAGGGATTGAGTGCAGGGTGGGTGACAGGGGAAATGCCATCACCAGAGACCTGAACAATCCCTGCCACAAGCAGCCAACACCTTGGCACACAGACAATGTGATGGAAATGCAAAGGGAGTCCTGGACCGGTGGGTCATCACTGCAGACTGAGGCTGGGTCTCCGTTCCCTCGAGCGAATGTTCTCATTCCAGCTGCGAGAGTAAAGTTTCCTTGTCAAACACAAGAAGCTGCCTATGGTGACGACTGCACCGTCTGCTAATGCCCGAAGCAGCCTCGCCAAGGCTCCCCCCACCGTGCTCGCTGATGGCTTGTCGCTTCCTAGCTCGAGTGCATCGTCCCAGGCGCTGGCGCAGGCTGTTGTCGGTACAGGCTCCCCTTGTGGAAGTGGGGAGTGTACACAGTGCCGATGGCTTCCCCAACGTACCCCTGGTGGGGGGCAAGTGGACTGGGCAGCCCCAGTGGGGCATGTTGCATGGGTAGCGGGCCATAGCCGGGCACTCCCTCAGAATCCTCTCCGCCGTGGAACAGCGCCCGCTTTCCTTTCTGACGCCGATTGCAGAACCAGACTCGGACGACCTGTGGAGAGACACACACACGTACGGGCTTTAACTGACTGTACAGTTACTCGCACACAGCCCTGTCCAGAGAGAGAGAGAGACAGGTGTCCTGTCTTTGGCAGGGAGAGGAGGCACTGAGGTGGAGGGGGTGTTGAAGGAGCTTTAGCACGAAGCAAGTAGTGAGGTAAAGGGAACGAGAGAATTCCCATGTGGGTTCCTCCCGAATTTGCTGGAATTCACCAGCTCGAGGCTCAGGTTTGGGACCTGGGGGATATAGGCAGGCACAGGAGAGCTAATGGCTGCTGCCATCAGGGGGCACTGGTGACCACAAAGCTCCAATGGATTGGCATGTGGTTATGGGCGAAGGGCTGTGAAGTGTTGCTGCTCTCCCCCCCACAACCCACCTGCCGTCAGATCTATCGGAAGGATTTTGACACTTTTTTTGCCGATGCTACAAACCATGTCATTCGAGTCCTGGAGAGGGACTTGAACCTTCCAGATCAGAGGGAAGGACACCCGCTGCACCTCAGGACACCCGCTGCACCTCAGGACACCCGCTGCACCTCAAGGGCACTACCACCAAGACAAACCATTACTACAAAACAAAAACAAATCATTCCTGGCTCCATCCTCGAGTAAATGAACAGACATTTCCCTCCTATGATTTATTTTGACCTTCTCTAATGACTACCTGCCAAGTCAAATTCCCACCGGCTCCAAACTTCCCAAGTGACTATGGAATGAGAGGTGTACCTGAGAGAGGAGCTCAGGGAGCTGTCTCTGAAACTCGGTCGGAGATGGTTGATGGCCTGGGTACTGTAACAGGTGGTAGGGTGTAGAAAGAGGGAGGAGTAATTGCCGGAAGGGGCATGGGGAAGGGCGGCTGCTCTGGGATGGATGAAAATACCTTGAGGCAGGAGACAATAAAACATTAAAAAAAAAGCACACATCTGGTTCACTGTATCATCAGAAGCTGATGTATCTGTGCCAAAAACTCTGCAATTCCCCTCCTTGAGCCCCTCTCCTCCCCTTGCTAGATAATCCTCAAAACATAGCCAAGGTGTTGGATTCGGCACAGAGGAAATTGACCAGGGATCGGGGTCTTGAATGATACGGAGAGGCTGCAAAAAGGCAGCTATGTTTAAGAGGTTGGTTAGAGGGGTTCAGAAATCATGAAAGGGTTGCATAGTTTCCTCTGACCAGCTCTGGCTTCAGTGGCAGTAAGGCTGGTGATCAGAAAGCACTGCTTTAAAGGTAATTGGCAAAAAGAATTTGTAAATTAATTAACGGCTGACCTGCAACCTGGATTGTGGGGACGGGGGAACGGGGCAACAGATTCACTAGCAAGTTGGAAGAAAAGAGATTTGGAAAATCTTTTGAAGGGGCAGAATTAAAACAATGACCAGCTTACAGTAAAATAATGACCAGCTTACAGCAAAATAATGACCAGCTTATGGGTGGACTGCAGCGGTTAATGAAGGCAGATCACCACCACCGTCTCAAGGGCAATTAGAACCCAGGCAGTGACACCCACATCCCACAAATGAATAGCAAAGAAAAAGCAGTAAAAGATTCATCTGGTGGCACAGGTCTGATAGTACAAATGGCCTCTTATGGTGTGGTACCATGCTCCAAGGCTTGCTGTCAGATAAGTCGCTGAACCATCCTGTGAAGTGCCTTGGGATGTGGTATTGCATTAAAAAAAAAGGATGCTACACAAATGCACCTTGTTGCTGAAAAGCCAGAATTCACTTTCGTTTTTGCTCGTGATTCTCTCAAGAGTCTACCTTTTCTCTCTCTTTCTCTGTACCTCTGCCCACTCTCTCCCCCCAGCACATGGCCCTCCTTACATCTTTCTCCAGATTGAGGTCATCTGCGATCTGGATAATCTCCTGAGCGGACGGTTTTGGACACTTTATGAAGGCAGCCTCCAGCAGCCCCTTCACGTTACTGTCAATGCTTGTACGCCGTTTCCTCTTCCGGGCTGTTGCCAGCCTCTGTTCCATGCTGCACAGCTGCTCAACAAAAGGAGCAGATATATATCAAACGTAGATAATCTTTTCTTTTAAATTTAAAAAAAAAAGAGATTTACAAGCAATGTTCACCCTGAAGAGCAAAAGAAAAGCTGCCTTGCCTGGTTTCATGGTTCGCAGATGAACCCAAGTAGAAACGGGCTGGTCAGCTGATCGACTGCAGTGGGCATCGCAAGTCGGGCAATCCCACCTTCACATGCAGCGTACGCGCAAGCCACGTGGGGTGGTGAGGGGACAGAGACGGTTTCTCGCACCCTCTTACCTCAAGCAACAATCCTGAGTTACAGGAGGACATACACAGTGGATGGGTGAGGAACAACCTTTTGGTTCATCCGTCCAGTTGTATGTGACCGTGCACCAGCACTGGCCAGTCTGGCTGAAAAGGGGTGGGGTGGGGGGGGAGGTGGGGGGATGCTCTAGGCGAGGACAGACACCGAATGTTTCTTTTCAAAACAAAAACAACCAGGCCTAGGGTCAGGAAGAAGATGGAATATGGTAGACAGTCCTGGGTCAACTTCCTGTGGTGAGTGAACCTGGTTCAGGAGCTCACTCAGAATCCGATAAATTGCACTCCAGTATCGGCAGTAGCAGGGCTGGGGTACTGGGGGGTTGGGGGGGGAGGTGTGGGTAGGGGGTGGTGGTGGTGTTTGAAGGTCAACGATGAGCCACATATGGAAAGACAGAGCAGGATTGAGGGGCCGAATGGAGCAGTATTCGACCATTCTCTAATGTTCTTACTATCAACAACACGAGCACCGAAGAAATTCGATACCTGTGTACCACTCCCATCGACTGGAGTCAGCTTTGGAAACTGATCAGGCCCGTCACCCAGACAGACCAGAACTAGCAACAGGACAATGACTAAAACACGAGGGGGAATGTCCTGAGACCCGCCTCGGGACAGTGCCCCGAGCCCAGGTCTTCTCCAGGCTGTGGCCTTTCTCTTTTATTCAATTCGTTCATTGGCCTTTGCTGGAAAGGTCAGCATTTATTGTCCCGTCCCTAGTTGCCCCCCTTGAGAAGGTGGGGGTGAGCTGCCTCCTTGAACCGCTGCAGTCCATGTGCTGTGGGTTGACCCACAATGTCCCTTAGGGAGGGAATTCCAGGATTCTGACCCAGTGACGCTGAAGGAACGGCGATATATTTTCTTTATTTGTTCCATGCACCGTGGGTCTTATACAGTTATCG